ATGAATAATAATCTTAATTTAGGTACTATACTATTATTATTTGAATTTTTTACATAAAAAATCATGAGCTATTAAAACTCATTTTATTATAATGATATGATATATTGAAAGAAAATGAAGATAAAAATATAGAACTCTATAGATATCCAAGATTATGGTTAACTAAATAATATATATGTATTTTTTTAGATTCAGTTGATATGATGGTACACATTATATAAATATTTATTAAATAAATATATTTTTTAATATTAAATAACAAGCGTTTTAGAAGTTTTAAGTCTTAAAAATAATTGAATGTGTAAATGTATGCATATTTATTTAGGTTATATAATCTAAACCAATATTGATATGATAAATTGATTTTAAAATAAGCATTTGAGTTAACTATTAACATATATTATTTGTTATCGATAAATAATATATTGTGATAATAATCGATATATTATTATATATCAATAAATAATATATTAACAATGATTAATGATTATTGATATGGATATTTATTAAAGATCATCAGAATCATCAATTAATATCAATATTTCAGAGAGATATTTATCAATTTTTACAGATATGGCAATGATTCTTGATAAATATCACCCCCAAAAAATTTCCTGATGGAACTTCTTCATCTCTATCCAATAATATTAATAGATTTTTTTTGTCTCTATCTGATAATATTAATGGATCTTCTTCATCTCTATCTGATGATATTAATGAATCAGAAATATAACTCAATAATATTTTGATCTTTCATAATGTAGAATTTTCATGATCTTCATATATTGACATTTGAACTAGAGAAATTATATTTGCTTTATTAATAATTGAATGTTTATCCAAAATATAATGCTTAAGAGCATAAGAACTTGAATAATAACAAATACAATATGAGCATTGAAAATTCATATTTAATATCAAGTTTAAAGACAATGAAAACAAGTTTGTATTAAATTAAGTCAATATTTATCATACTTTCTCAATACAAAATATCTTTAAGAAATATTATCTGAGTGTTTTCTAGATACATGTATATTAATCATGATCAGCTAATCAAATGATATATAAAATATCGAAATGTATCAATCAAAAAATATATCAATATATAATATATTGATGCATAGTGATATTTTAGCATGATAAATATTGATATTTATCACTTTATCACCAAATATCGTAAAAATACTCGATTTAGGATCTATTGATAGATCACGAAAATCGATTAATCGATATTCCTAAATTAAAGAATAATTATCGATGTTTAACCCTTTAAAAAATTTCCTGATGACTAATGAGATAGGATATCGAACGTATTTATCCATGGTCGAAATGTACGAGATGTGTGTACTTTTCCATAATCTATGATGCTTTTACGTATGGGTTGGCTGGAATTCTGAGAAGTTTAAAACTAGCGAAATAGGATATCGAACATGTGTCAACATGTTCGATATTTATGATGTTTTTGTGTTTTAGCCCAGTGAACGAAATAGAGCATCGAAAATGTGCCAAAATAATAAAGATAACATTAAAATCTGAACCACGGTGACATTTGTAAATGTCGGTCTGCCTAAAATAATACTTTGCAGGTAAAGTTTCTATTAGTAACGTTGGCAATAGAAAAAGATTTTTTTCATGGTCGGATAAAACAAGTATATTCTTAAGTATTTGCCAAAATGCATTAATAAGCGTATATAGATAAGATAACGCTAAAGTCGATAATGATAATGCTTTTGTATGTGGGTCTAGACCCGGTGGCGAAAAGTTAAATGTTTTCATCTCGTAGTTGACAATAAAAAATGATTTCTTTTTCTTTTAAACTAATGTATTTGTTACTGTTCATTTTGATATTGATCCGAGTACTGTGAATAAACCCGTTTTTTGGAACCCAAAAAAATGGTGTAGTTTATGGTAAACATTTGACTTACTCGTTTTATAGAAAAGAACTTGCTGATCAAAAAATTGCGTATTCTTATTGGCTGCTGGTCTATGATCGACCAAACTGGCACAAATATGGGCCAATAGAACAGTAACCAATAAAGTCCGCATAAACCTCCAGAAAAACAAATCGAAGGAAAACCTGAAGAAGCTTCCAAAGACGCGAAAAAAGATGAGGTAGATCTATTTCACACAGTTGTAGATCTGGAAAAAGGAAAAAAATACAAGAACTGCGAAAAATACGAGAAACAGGTGCCTAAATATAGCTTGGAGTACTAATTAAAATCGTTGGGGAGACAATTTTATATATAACTGTAAAACCAACCTTTTAATGTTAATATTACAGTAGAATTTTCCGAGATCAACAAAACCTGGCACAGATTTCTTGAGTGCAATAAGAAATATCAATATGAGCGATTATTAAATTAGGACTGAAGAAGGCGGTAATATAAACCACTTAAAAGTCTATTTACAAAAAAACACAGAAGCCCCTAAAGAATTCAAAAATTAGGGCAAATTTTCCTTTGGATGATATCCGCTGATTTGATCAAAAAAAGGAAAGGATATCCACTGATTTAATAAGAAATATCAATATGGGCGATTATTAAACTGAAGAAGGCTGTAATATAAACCACTTAAAAGTCTATTTACAAAAAAACACAGAAGCCGCCAAAGAAATTCAAAAAATTAGGGCAAAAAAGCCAAAAATTTACGCGGTGAAGCCCTTGAAATTTTTTAAAAGATAAAGGGAGAAAAATTACCGATATTAAATTCTATACTATGTAATAATTCTTTGGCAAAACATGTCAGAAGTCGAAACTCTATGTTTCGACGGGTTCATTTGGCTCCGAAAAATCAAAGATACCCTTTTATTACATGAAACTAATTTTCGAGGAATAATACTGCAATATGCAATTGTGAACTGAACACTCATTATAGTAACTCCGTTGTTTACAATCGTAACAGTTATTACTACAATCATGATTTCGGTTGAATATTGGGTTTTCCTTTAAATCTTTATAACAAGTTGCACAAATATATTTTATTTCTAGGTCGTTATTCGGAGTAAGTTAATGTGATCGCCGAGTGGATTACCTATAAATACAAGTGGTTCCCGCAATAATTTTTTACATTATCTGCCACCCAATATTATCTATGTTATCTACTATCTTAATATCTAATGACCAATAAAATCTAATCATCCAATAACCAATAAAATCTAATTATCTATTAACCAATAAAATCTAATTATCTATTAACCAATGAATTTTATTTAATGCATTCATTAAAGTTAGGGATGTGCAGTTGATATCCATTTTATTAAGTCACAATTATATCATGAATGACAAGTGTCTGTCATTTTTAATAGACCTTGTCCTTTACCAACATTGAATTGTCGAAATAGAATTAAAAGAGGTTTGTATGTTTCATGTTTTATATAATGATAATTTTTACTTGAATTAAGTCAATTTACTGGAGTTCACTGACAAATTCTGAAGTCAAATTTATTCACATGTAATAAATTACGGAACTACACGGTATATTTTGTTCCGGAATGCCATTATACTGGATGCAAATCATGCTAAAAATGAGGCATCGCGACACCTATTACAGCGCACAAATAAACAAAAAACGATAAAAAGCAACAAAGAAACGATAAAAAGCAACCAAAAAGGATAAAAAACGATATAAAGCAAAAATAAAAGGAGCAAGCGTCTCTCATCGTGTTTTTATTACTTCGAATTATATATTATGGCATCATCATCGAGAAGGGCACTATCTAACACAGAGGGTGCCATAGCATGTATGTATGCTGTTATTTTCTTCATATGGCGCAAACCACTTGAAGTCATCAATAAATTGTATGTTTTAAATTCTATAAACTTCTTAAGTAAATACAAATTTAATCCGATAATATGGTTAAGAAAGGTCTATTCTCGGATTAAATTTTGAATTTGCCAAGAAGTTTATAGAATTTAAAACATACAATTTATTGATGACTTCAAGTGGTTTGCACCATATATTCAATGTTCAATTCAATTTATAGTTTATCCTAATATTTCCTTATTATACATAACATTTCAGGCAGAGCTCAAAGAGTACAAGTCAAGACATTAAAAGAAACAATATTAAGTCTTAAGGGTGAATTATCAGATCTCAAACAAAAATTAGAGATTAGAGAAAATGACTGCAAAAATTTACTTGAAATTAACAACCACTTGTGAGAAACCTTAAATGACAAAAAATATATAATTTCTGAACTCATTAAAAATCATAGAAATGATGCCCATTTTGCATCAGATCAATTTTTAACAAATAATCTTACTGGTAACAATAACAATCGAAATCAAATCAATAACGCTGATGTCAATTTCAATAGTTTGATTAACGACGATTATTTCAATAGTATCATCAATAACGATTACCACAATAACTACGCTCTAAATGACGAAATCGACCACAATCACGAAGAATAAATCATCATACACCCTACTATTATTATTATCCTTTAAGTAGATCGATTCATTCACCTAAGAAAAATAAGACGCACTATAAAGTACGATTTGAAGTACTCCCCCCCCCCCTTTCCATGTATAGTAGTACTCCCACCGGTTTTTTGTAAAGTACCTCAATAGATTTTCAATAGACGTTCATGAAATCGAGTTACATGATCATGTGGCTATTTGTGGGTTCTTCCAAAGATAATGCTAACGTTAACCGGTTAAGATTATCAGTTTAAAGACATCTTAAGTAGTTAATATGTAGCGGTAGTGATATCACCTCCGCGAAATATACATTTTTTCTGAAATAATAAATCCGGATAGTATCTCTAGAAAACTCCGTAAATACAATAAATATTTTGCTGCAAAGAAATCACAAAAATTGGCCGACTGTTACATAATTAATTGGTACTTTTTTAAAAATAGCCAGAATATTAATACACTATAGAAAGAATATCCTCTTGTAATCCACCTATCTATAAAATCTGTGTAACCAAAAATAAGCATTTCTATCTCGCTCTTTTGTCATCATTTCCGCAACACAATAGTAAATTTATATTGAAAATGGGAAACTGCACATCACAATGCTTTGGAAAGCGTAATAAAGGAGGGTACACTCTTGGCGGTGGGAATAAAACTGAGGTTGCTTCTAGCTCTTATCCATTACAGACAGTAAGTAAAAATAACAGCAACAGCAACAACAATAATAACAATGACAATAGAGAAAGGGATAGTAGTGCATTACGACAGGAAGCTGCTTTGGCTGCTGAACGGAGAGCTGAACAGGTATATTTTAGTTATTTTGTTTTAGCCTAACATTGAAGAATAAATTCCGAAAAAGTAGAGTCTTAGAAGGAATGAACTTATCGGCTTTTTTTGCTCTTATTTGATTCCATATTTATTATTATCGGTCATTAATTAATTTACGTTATTTATTTTATTAATTGATTAAATTCAAGGCGAAAACTCGCGGTGTCCAAAAAGGCGGAGGAAAATTGAGTAAAAAGTTAGAGGAGCAACAAAAATCTGCTAACAAATTCGATGAGAAACCTTCTAACGATAATCTCCAGGTATGATCTTTTGATCATTTTCGAAATCCGGCTTTATGGCTATTTATTAAAACATATTTTTTTATTTAGTGGCGAGTTGATTAGACGATATAATATAACAATTTGGCATTTTATTTATTTGTTCTTATGTTCTGGAAGATAATTTGTACATAATGTTGCATTTTTGAATTTTAACATTATAGCATACATGTATAATATAATTTAACGTTAATAAAGTCGGCGAGATTAAAGCTATCACATGACACAAATTCATCCATCAAAAAAACAGAGATCATCGACATCAGAAATCTATTATCTATCCGAGCAAAGAACTCGCTCGCTAATGTAAAAAGGACTGCCAATTCGCTCATTCTTTTCATTTTTTTAAACTCTATTTCCAAACAACGAAGAAACATTTAATAAAATGGTTTATTATAGTAGCTGGTTGCTATACTACAGTTACGGGTCACTATTCACTGTATTTTTGATTGTTGTATTTATTTTGTTAATTACTGGAAATTTGAATATTGGCGATTGGCTACTACAAATAAGTCCTTATGCTTTTGCATTGATTGGGATAGCGCTGTGCATTGGGCTAAGTGTTATGGGTGCTGCATGGTTTGTATAAATCTCATAATTATAAGGAATCGTGCGGATTTATTACTACTATAAATAATGTTTAGATTAGTAGAGTTTTAAAAATGTTAAAATAGAATTATTGGAAGTTTCTTTAAATTTAATTGGGGGGGGTGGGGAATGAATGATCAAATTTTAAAATGATTTAATAATTACTTTACTCTTCAATCTTAGGGGAATATTTATCACTGGATCCACTATTCTTGGTGCTGCTGTAAAAGCCCCGCGTATCAGAACAAAAAATCTAATTAGGTATGAATAATTAAAGCTTTTGATTCATTGATAATTTTTTCTTTATTGATTTCTATTGTTATTTTATTGCGACACAATTATGAAAATATTGATTGTTGGATTTTTATATAATTACACGGATTAATTGACTTTCGATAGTATAATTTTCTGTGAAGTTGTAGCCATCTATGGCGTGATAATGGCAATTGTGTTTTCAGCAAAACTGCAATATGTAGCGGGAGCGGAAGTATATTCTAAAGCTAATTATTATACCGGTAATTGTTGCCAATGTTTTTATCTCTATCATATACAAAATCTAACATAAAACAAATTGATCCTAAAAATAAAAAACAGGATACTCTCTATTCTGGGCCGGTCTAACAGTTGGCTTCTGTAACTTATTCTGCGGTATAGCAGTCGGCGTAACAGGCAGCAGTGCCGCTCTGGCAGACGCACAAGATCAGGCATTATTCGTAAAGATTCTTGTGGTCGAAATTTTCGGGAGTGTGCTGGGATTGTTTGGGCTGATCGTGGGATTGTTACAGGTATTTGATTCGATTGGGTTCGATTTTTTTCTCGTCTCCCTTTTTAGCAGTTAATCGATTTTTTTTTAATTTTCATTTAGTCTGGAAAAGCTGGTGATTTCGCGAGTTAGTGTTCGGTAAAGAAATCTTTGATAATAGAGAATTATGTATTTCTGGTCGGTAGATATCTAGCTTTTTTCTTGTATTAATAAATAAATTTGTATGATTTTTTTATTGTTGATTAAGAATTTCACGTGGATATTAAAAAAGCTAGAAGATACTTCTTACGTCTACTAAATCTAGTTGACTCATTTATTTATTTATAAAGAAAAACGAGTATTATGTGTACATATAATAGATGATGATAAAAAGAAAAAAACTAGCTTTTGAACAACAACAATAATATCGCGTGGTAAATAAAGTTAATTTTATATACTTTCTTCTCTGTCTTACATATACAAAACAAGTATTGATGATGATCAGGATGAATGAATAAAATCAAACAAATAAATACACGAACAGAAAAGGAAAAAAACGTTCAAACTGTCAAGCTTATAACAGCGTAATAATGTCTCATCGCCATCCCACCTCACCACTAAAAAGTCGAACTAATAGCGTCAATAAGCGCCATATCGGAATCATGTAACCCGAAAATCGAACATAAATCGATTGGTTGCGTATCTTTTGTGGACGGGATTTGATAAATTTGTGGGGTTTTTGCTGCTGCGCGGATATTGTGCAACAGTTTTTTGTACATTAGCGCCTTTAGGTATAGTATCCGAAGTTGATCTTCCAAGTAATCAAGGCACTGTATTTTGATTGTTTTTTTGGATGATTGATTGATCGATTAATAATACAACAATAGTAACCGGATCTTAATTACATAATTCTTGATCCCATTTCTCTATATACGCGTATAAGAATAAATAGCAGTAATACTTGCCGATTCAGGTGGCATATTCATTTTCGTGAACAGATTTTTGCATTCACGTAGTAGCGTATAGACATGATGAGACATTTGAGGTCGATGACAAATCATTGGTCCGTCCCGAATCTGGTCTCCCTCGATTCTAACTCTGTTAGTGGTTGATGATGACTGATTTGGCATTGTTGAATTAGGATGGTGATTGTAAGCTTCGTAGCCAAGTACGGTACAATTTCTATTTTTGTTGTTTTCCATTTAATTAATAAGATATCACATTAATGTGTAGAAAATAATAGTAATATAGTTACTTGTTGTCGAGGTTTCCTAATATGCAAAAAGATCGCGTCACCGGTTCGTCTGGTAATGAAAATTGCTAAGAATTATAAATAAAATAATTATTAGGTTATATCGTAATAATAAAATAATTATTAGGTTATATCGTAATAATAAAAAAAATTTTAATTCAAAAAATTAATAGTTGATAATACCTGCACGGAATCTTTTAAATCAGTCTCCAACGAATCCTGAAAATCGAAACACGGCAATCCCATAAGCACAAAATCCGACATATAAGAATCACACAAGCCAACCATCAACGAGCGACCATAAGACTTTACGTATAGTTGGTCTGCACGATATGAAGAGGACTTCGTCTTAGTGGACTTGTTACCCGTCGTTGAACTTTGCTTTGCGTGCAACGGTGACGATGAGTTGGGAATAGTTGTGGGAATATGTGACCTTGTAGAAAACACCATGCACATATTAGTCATTATGATAATTAATATAATATTCCGTGAGGAATATTATTAAAACGATAACACGAGGGGAAGGAAGAATATGTACTTTGGCATCGGCACATCCATAAACTGATCCATACAAAGATCTACGTCTTGAGAATCTAATAATACACTAGTTCTTTTGCTAACTTTTGACGTTTGTTGTTGTTTTCGTTGCCCATTATTTTCATTAGATTTGATCTTATTGTGATCTATGCTATGATTATTGTTATTGGTATCTACATGATTTATATGGATATCGGCGGGTGTATTCTTTCCGATGGGTGACGCAGTCTTCGCGTTTGTTAATGAGCTGGTTGTTGTTGATGTTTTTGCTGATTTTTCATGACTAACTAAATTATTATCGCCACTTGAAGTACTTTGTGCCGTAGTAATGGACTGATGACAGTCTGTCTTTGCACTCAAATTTTCAAAAGACGATTTACTTCCAATTACACTCTTGGATTTTTCTTGATTTGCTATTATTGGTGGCGATGTTGTGGTTGCAGTCATTTTGTTATTGTTATTATTATTACTATTATTATTAATGTTATTGTTATTGCTATTATTATTGTTGTTATTGTTATGTTTATTATCGTCATTAGTTTTCGAAGCGGCAACTGGTGATGAAGGCGGCATCATCTGCTCCATATTCTCGAATACTTCATTACACCGAATAAAGTAACTAAGAACATATATTATTCGCCGAACGGTGTTTACATCCGAACCTACAATAATGGATCGACTCATTATTGAGGGACCGATGTTTCCGTAAAGATCGCTGGATTATTTGTCAGACAGTGAATTAAGTTTCATGTAATAATAAATGTAATTAGCTATAGGATAGATTGATAATAAAATCGCAATATCTTTTGCAGCAAATATCCTATCAAAGATAATTATTAACATTTTCGCGAGATTAAACACAAAATATAATGAATGATATACCCAAGTTGTGCCCATAACGGATCGTACGACAAGTTTTTGGAGTTCTGGATATGAATATTATATATTAAATGTTAATGTTACACTTGATGTATTAAATACGTCACCTTAACAACACGTACCCTATCCTCGAAATCTGCATTAGGGGCAACTGTCGGAACCCAAGATAGATGATACATTAGAACAGTAGTGATCAGTGTCGATATGAAGCTTTATATGTTTGATAATATACAAAGAAAAATATCGATTGAAAATAATTGTTAGGGATATTATTTATTATTAATGTAAATATAATAAGTTCCTCCACAAACACACCAAGCCAATGTGACCCCCCCCCAAAAGAACATCGCAAACAAAAAAAAAGACAAGGATACAAATTTGTCCTCTTATCGTCGAAATTATCCAACAAATAAGACAACTCCATAAAAAAGCTTTTTGCAAGGTTGCTTTTTTGAGTGGGAAATGTCGAAATGTTCAACCATAACGGCTCCTTGTGTGCAACAATTTATTTGATGAAATTTGATGAAACTTGATTTCTTTTTGATAGATTCACGGATAGATTTTGATTTGCACTCTGCACACACATTCACAAGTCATAATTGCACATTTCCTCATACACACGTTCAGCTCACGAGCAAGTGTGAGCATTATTAATAGTAATAGTAGCATATTTATGTATATATATGCATTATACAGAAAAACGCGCTTTTTTCGATACCTGGATACGTGGAGTGCTATACAACAGGCACAAAGAGTTCTTAAAACGCATGACCGCCTCTATTAAGAGTGGCTCATTTTGTAGCATTAGCGACGATAAGTATGGTACGGAATATCGTTGACGGTGGTTTGGTGGGTTAAATATCTTGTAATGTGAATAACAAAAAAAATACATGTTGAGACACACACCACACACACACAAAATTAGAGATATTGATTATTGATAAAAATTTTACTGTACCGAGTTAGGCCCACTTATCGATACTTGCTGAGGCGCCTTTCGTAACGAGGAACACAGTAACTTAAAAGCCACTTGTTGAAGTTGATGCAGTCTGTTTTCCAGTAATGCGAAATGTGAGAATAGGAAATCCTCTAGTAGTTCATTGTCTTCCAAGGTTATCACGACACCCACAGCGTACATAATAGAGCGCGATTTCAAACTTAGCTGAAAAATCATATAAATTCAAAATAAAATTAAGTTGTCATTTTAATTCCGAGCAAAAAAACCAAAACTTACATTTGACGAATCGATACGCGACAAACTTCCCGGTAACGGAGTCGGATTGAACACACCATTTTCCATACTAGTCTGACTAAATCGCCTTATCCTACGGTTAGTAAATGTGTTTCGAGGCGACGTCGAAAGCGACGAAGTAGTTGACGATATGGTGATCCCGCTCGTACGTAGTCCCAGTATCGGCGGTCCCGGATGAAAAATTGACGATGGGGACGAGTAGATAGGTATTCGAAGCGATTCTTCGTCACTTGATTCAGAGTATTGTTCTTCAGCGTTGAAAATAGAGTTTGGTCTTGATGAAGAAGATTGGCATTGGTGTATGGCACTGTTATTGCCATTACCACCATCGGCACGTGTATCATTATTGCTGGTATTGGTATTGTTGGTATTGTTGGTGTTGTTGTTTATTGTTGTGCTTGAAGATGCGACTGACGCATCGCTGCTCACAGACGAGAAGGAACTACGTCGCGCAGGCGAATGATTCTCCAAGTCACCCGTATTTACGGAAAATAATTTTGTTAGGAGGATTTGTGGTTTTGGCGATTTCATGTAGTGAATTTTGGTGGTCATTCCTTTGTAAGCTAATGGAACTGCGCCAAACATCATCTCGCCGATTAGATCGATATTGTGGGTCGCCTTTTGAATTGAAATAAATTTAATTATAATTAAATTAAATCAAAACAAAACAAGGTAAAATGAAATAAAATGATAAATATTAATAATATGAATAATATTAAAATGAATTTTTTCTTTAGACATTTTTGTCACACTGATAACCCGAAATAGTAGTACACTTTCACCTTCTCGAGGCTATTGCTCTCTCATCCACCACTAATCAAACAACGGAAGGAGGAGCAAAGGGATCGAATTAATGAATTATATAACGTTTTATCGCAAAGAGAATGAGGATGAAATACAAGAGAAAAACGATATTTGATGAAGGTGAATTAAAAATAAACCAAATATTTATGTAATTTAAATAAGAATTTAAAAAAAAAATGTTTCGAGCATTTATTATCCTCTAAAGCGTAGAAAGACCATGCCCAGTCTTACTCATGATACGTTATGATGAGTAGTGATGGAAGAGAACCAACAAATCCTCAAAACCAAAAAGAAAATAACAACACTAACCTTTCTTTGTATCGCCAACATGCTATTACGACTGAGCGACGGAGGAAGAGTATGCACATTAGATTTATTATTATTGTCGTTGTTACTTGAATCTAAGCTTCGTCTTTTTCCCTCAGTTAAGTTGTTATTATCACTTTGATGATGATGCGTGTGATGCGAGTGTGGATGATGCGTGTGATGCGAGTGTGGATGATGCGTGTGATGATGATTGTGGTGATGATGATGATGATTGCTATTATTGATAATAGATGTAGAAGTAGTAGTAGCAATAGGATGAGCAGTTTTAGCATTACTCGCGATATTAATAGCACGCGTAATAGTATTGGATGACACCGATGGCGACTGAATCGACGACGAGGAGGAAGACAAAAAACCGCCACTCAGAAACCCGACACCGCTCCACGAAGACGGGAGTTCCGCGGTGCGTTCTTCGGACGAACCTGGTACTAGCGAGTACGCCGAGTCGAAAAGGGTTAATTTGGTTTTGTCACCTGTGTCTTGGCATAGGATCACGCGGATTTGTGCGGGATTGAAGGCTGGCGGTGACCAGCTGAATGTTATTTGTGTGAATGATAATGGTGATGGAGTCGGATCGAATGGGATGTGTTGGATAGAAAGAAAAGAAAAGAAAAGACACAAGAAATGTAGGTGTGTGTATAGTAATACGTTTATATTTTTTTATTGTGTATTTTTTGGGTTTGTGTGGGAGCATACATTATTTTTTCTCTTTTTTTTTTTGATTGTCATTCGTTGATTCAATAATTACATTATTCACCTCGCCTATACATTAATATCAAAACATGCGTGAACTATATGTACTATACCCTACAACCCCTCGCACGCCATTTTGTCATGTTGGTATCGATCTTATTATTATATACAATGACCTTCCTCGAGACACACGTACGTAATCATTTATGCTTGCAAATTTCCGTTTCCTCGCTAATTGCCGACAGATTTCATTTTTCCCACCAACCCACACACTCATGAACGCGTAACGTTTACCAGTAAAAATACACGATATGTGAATACGTACGGCTCAGCTTCCAGAAGGGTTTGTGTGTGTTTAGCATCTTCGACATCTCTAAAAACGGATTTGGTACGAAATAGCTTTTGCAGCATGTTCGTTATTTTTGAAGTATGATATGCTTTTTCACTCGTGGTCACAAAAATTTCGGGAATTTAACGAATCCCCAGGATGGTTAGCAGTTAAGTGGAATTAGCAAGAAAAAAGTAGAAGTAAAAAAAAAACGGTCGAGAATTTATTTTCGCGATGTATGTATGTATGTCTGTCAAATAAAAATATTTTGATTAGATATTCTTATTATTATTATGACCGACAAGCTGGCTGATTTTCAGTGATGATAATAAGTCAATACAGATGATGTATATATTTTTACAATGGGTACACTAAAAATAAATGATCAATAAATGACAGAAATAGCAATTCAATAAATCCAACAATGAATATAATAATATATCCGTGCAACTCAATATATTGCGTGTAACGTCCTGTTTGAAGTGGAAAACGACATACATGCACGCATTACATCGACATGGTATCAATATAGTAATCAGACGATTGTATCAGACAGACACGGATGTCACGAACACATACAAATGCATTTGCATTGCACCTATGATGCATGTATAATTACCTTCTGACGTGCAGCAGCAGATGTTGATGATGATGTTTTACTTACTCGGCTATGTTACTTATTCTTTTATTGATCTGATTATTATACATCTATGATGTTTTATAAACGTTGCCATCAATTTAATTGCACAATTTCTCGGGCGTTTTGCCCAAAGTTAACAAATCCACCACTTTTCAGGATCTTCAATCACACAGAGTTTCTTTTTTTAGTCGAGATTTGCTTCCTGGAAACTTTAGCCCAAAAACTTGTTGGTGATTTTACTTGGAAAGAATCAATTGACTAAATGTTGTGTTCGAGTTAGAGAATAATAAGAAAATTCATTGCAAGTATCTTGGATCCCAGCTAGTGACAAATTAAATATAGAGATTTCTAGAACTATAATTTATTACAGAAAATAATGCTAGTTGTATATTTTTCTGGATGTGTTGAATTAACCAATTGATATAGCTATATTAAATAATTATAATTTCATCAAGCAAAATATTACATGAACATCATTTACATCTTTATTTATAAATAAATCACGATTTTTATATCTAAAATCCAATTTATTATTGACTTATCCATATATAAGTTTTTAGTATATTTGTTTTCCAAATTTTTTTATTTTAAATACTAGTTTTTTTTAAATCTTACATGCAGAGTTGAAATATAAAATATAATAATTAATTAAATATTAATTAGCTAATATTATAAATTTTTATAATAAATATTTTTTGTCAATTACATTAATATATATTTTTTTGAAATAACGAAAAATAATTTGGATCAAATTTTTTTGATATGTAATCCAAAAATTTTTCTTACATAAAATAGAAATTTTTTGTATTGGATTTGCAGAATCAAATTTAATTTAAAAAAATTATTTTATTTTATTATAATTCAAGTTTATTTATATAGCTTAATATTTGTAATTTTTATATAAAGAACACCAATTATTTGAAAATAATAATTAATATATATTATTTAATTAATTATTATATTTTACATAATAATATAAAATTAGAGAATTGTTATTGGCACCCTCCATTTTTGTTATTGGCACCCTCCATTTTTGTTATTGGCACCCTCTATTTTTGTTATTGGCACCTCTCCACGTGATTCAAAATGGATCAGTTCTATAACCGTTCCAAATCACTTGACTCGGAATCATGTGTTCACGTGATCCATGACAATCACATGCAAGTTACATCATAACCGCTTTTTACAGGTTTCGCAATAATTATTAACTTTTAATTATCAAACAAACAAAGGAAATAATGAAATAATTTAAGTGATATGAACAAAGGAAACAATAATGTGTCTAGTAATATAATTTTAAATAATTTAAGTGAAATAAACAAGGAAAACAATAATGTGTCTAAAAGTGTGATTTTAATTATAAAATAAAATGATTTGAAATAATTTAAGTGATATGAACAAAGAAAACTAATGTGTCTAGAAGTGTGATTTTAATTATAAAATGAAAGAATGATTTGAAATATTTAAAATGCTTTAGTGAAATTACAAATAACTAGAGATAGAAAAGACGGGTTGTATTTGATACCCTTGAAAGTAAAACTATTGTTTGCGTACAAACATACTTTTTCATCATAATTTCTATTTCACTTACCTCCCTAGACACGAACAACCTTTCCATTTAATGATCGTTTAAAGATCGAAAACTTTTGAAGTTTTGTTGTAATTGAAAAACACATTAAAGAAAATTTCTATAGAAGGCAATTAAAGTAAATTAGTATTAAATCAAACACAAAACTCTTCACAACACCCATTCCCCTTTTACGATTAAAGTTTATTGATCGCTCATTCCATAATTGATTAAAACCATTAACGAGATCAAAAATTTGAGAGAATTAAAGATTTGTCTTTTGTCACTTGTATTACCATATAAATGTTAACCATCATAATATTTAAAGTATGCTTTCACCTTCATCTGGTCAATTTGCAAGCTACAATGAGCTTCTTGCTCATGTCCGAGTCTTTACTATAACTCAAGGATATGCTGTAACTGTGAAAAGGTTACGAACTGATATAAATGGCAAAATCAAGAATGTGACGTTGCGCTATGACAGAGGTGGCTATTACAGGAATAGTTTGAACCTGACAACTGATTCACGTTGTAGGCAGACAGCTTCAAGACTTTTGGATTGTTCATTTGAGCTTTTTGGAACAAGACGTAATGATGTTTGGTATCTCGAGATTCAAAATTCTGAGCACAATTATGAAGCGTCAGAGGATATGTTTGGTTATCCAATTGCTCACAGGTTAAACACTGAGCAACAAGAACAAGTTCAGCAAATGTCTGCTGCTGGCTCCCAGCCTCGTCAAATTTTGTCAACCATTCAGCAGAGCGATCCTTCTTCTATAATCATATCCAGAACAATCTACAATACTTTGTATTCTATTCGTCAAGAAAGACTTGATGGTCGTACCCCAATCCAAGCCCTTCTTGATGAATTGCAAGAATCTAACTTCGAGTTTAAATATCAATATGATCATTAAAATCGCATTACACACCTTTTTTTCATGCACAGAATATCCATTGCCTTGACTCGCACCTACCCTACTATATTACTTTTGGACTGCACGTACAAAACAAACAGATATCAGATGCCTTTATTGAACGTTGTTGATATAACAAGCTTTAACACAATGTTCTTTTCCTGCTTTGCTTTTCTGAGCGATGAAAAAGAAGCGAATTACGAATGGGCTTTGACTTGTATTTTGAGGATATTCAACGGATTATCTCATTCTAATGTCATGATTACTGATCAAGAATTAGCACTGATGAGAGCTATCAGTAGAGTCTTTCCCAATACTCAACATCTTATATGCATTTGGCACATAAACAAAAACATTTTGACCAAGTGTAAGCACCACTTTACTACGGAAAAATATTGGACTGAGTTCATGGAAATGTGACAAGCGATCACAGCATCTGTCACTGAGCAAGACTTTACAACTAGGGTTCTGAAAAAAAGTCTGGTTCAGTTCGAGTCTGGTTCGGTTCGAGCTTGAACCAGACTCGAACCTGACAAA